ATTCTATCCAGAGCACGTTAAGTTGCGTAACGAGGAAATTGGATAGCGCGTCGATCGGATGCTGGCTCTGGTTAATACCAGAAACCAATTATGGCTGGAACTTATTTACTCTGGGTGTTAGTTAACGCTGGGAACACCTATCGAGCGCGAGGCAAATCGGACAGATTAACCCTTTCGGTGATTGCTAAAGTGAACAGTTTTTTTCGTCACTTAAATTTCTTCTAACTTTTGTAATTAATAGGTATATTTTCATTTTTTCTTGTCCGATTTTTGATAATTGCAAGAAACTCATGTAATATGTATCTCCTAGTGTTGCAAAGATCACTTTTCGTACGTTTCGCTTCACTCCAATCTTCTCTCCTTATCCAGGCTGTCTCAATAAAATATTTCAACTGCTACAAAGTGCGATCCTCATTTTCTACAAACGCACACCAGGTGTCCTAATACTTATGTATGAGAGTGCGCATTACTCGGAGGAATATTTCAGTCACAATGTTTCCCTCCGCATTCTGACGAGATATCCTCCGGCAGAAACAGCGAGACTCCCCCAGTGCACGAATGCATTTCGTCGTCGAGGATCGTCGAACGTGTCAAGGTGTCTCGCGCGATCCGTAATTTACAAAAACACTCTTCGTCTCTTCTCCTCCGTCCTTCCTTCTTCTTCTTCTTCCCTCCTTTTTTTATGACATCGAATTACATGACCCATGAATTTCGTTAATCGCATTATCGTGGCTCGGTCTAGCGGAAGGTGGCACGATGCCGGACGATGAACACCGGGTGGATGATCGAGCGTAACGCGATCGTGTCGAAACCCGTGATACCGAGGCGGCAGTTTATAAATATGCGATCAGAGAAATTGCATTTTCTCGTTGCATCACGATGCACCGAGCGAGCGGGTTTAACGAGCCACCACCGTCACCCGTGATAATTCTTCACGGCGCGCGGTAATTACACGTGACGAAGATGATAATAAGCACGGTTGATAAATCGGGATGCGTCGTGTGAAAACGCACCAACTTACCTTTCAACGCGTCTTTCGTTACGCGGGTCACTCGTGGTCAGTAATCATCGGAAGCAACATTTCTATACGGGCGAACGAAGTCTCGACGACTTTATCCTCTCGAAGCTACCAAACTTTTTTTCAGAGAGAGAATTCGTTGATAAAATGAAATGGAGAAGAGATTGAACATTCAAATTGCGTTCGATTTTTGTCTAAATAAACATTGAAATTCGCAAAAACGTAGCTCTCATAAATTTCTCGAGAGAATTATATTTTTTAACTAAAATTTACGAAGCTACATAAATCCTTACTTTCTTTGGAAGCTGGTTAAACGAAATTCCTCACTGAAATATAGATCATGGTGAACAAGTAGCGGTAGTGTACCATTTTCCGACTGTTTTCTCAACGCATACATTTTTCCAGCAGCAATCTTCCACTTCGAACGAACGAGCTGCTATCACGACGTAACGTTCGTACGTGAACAATTGGTGTGTTTCAATCATGGTCCCGTGGTGCGGCCTCGATCGTTTTGATTTATCCCGATTTCATTAAATTCTAATGGCCACCGGCACGTGAGACGACCGTTTTATCGTCTCCGTACATCCGCGAGAGGCCCTGACCATCCTTATATCTCGAAGACAAAGTACACGTATCAGGAATGCACGGCATCGTGCACCAGCATACGGTAGCACGGCGCGGCATTAATAATTCATAGCGGTGCGAACGGGGAAGGGTTAGGCTTTGGGGAATTATAAATATTTAGATCGTTCCGGAGATCGCCGCGAAGAAACGCTGGAAACGCCGTTTTGTGCCCTTTCTTTCCACGCTTTTCTTTTTCTCCTCCTTCTTTCGTTTCGTTTCCTCAGGCGATAAGCCTCGCCGTTATGCCACTCAGGCTCTGGCATTGTGCGTGCGTGACTCCTTCTTGCTCTCTTGCAAACATCATCGTCTCCGTGTTTTACCTTCTTTTTCTCTCTATTTTTCGAGAGCGTCTTCTCTCCGCTGTTCGCCATAAATTTCGCCACGTGAGTAGCGTGCTCCGTGGGTCCTCGAAATGGCGCGGCGATATTAAAAATCGGAAACAGGCCATAAACCTGGCGATGGTGGTTGTTTCGCGTATCGAGTAGCGCGATCGATCACTCGTGAAAAAGCCTCTTCAGTTTGGCGTTCTTGGAAGAACCGGGAGATGCGGAAGGGTGAAACAAAATTGGACACTTGCGAGAGAAATTTTAATAAGACGGTGTATCGCTGTTTCGTAGTTTATGTTAAGGAAGAGAGGGAAAAAGCCAGAGGCGTTTTCTGCAGATTTGCGCAATAAGAAAACGCGTTTCTGTGCGTGGGATCGAATTCTTCGCGGCGGGAGCTTTTTATTACTCGCTTAATGCCGCGGCTGAACGCGTGGATTTGCGCAATTTCGCTTTGTGCAAAGTGGAACGCATCTTGTCTTGCTTAGAACACTGGCTACGCCACCGCGCGCCTCCTTCTTAACCTAAACGTCGAAAGTTCACGTCTTTGTTATACCCCAGCCTCGTTATTCACTATCAATAGGACGTTATTATTAATCCACCTTGTTCCTCTCTTCTTCTTCGTTCTTTTTTCTTCTCGTTCTCCCTATCTATGCGTACCTGTTTGTTATTTCTCGATACATCGAGCTGATCGATTTGCACGGTAGCGTACAGTTATACCAGGCCGACCTTACACCGTAATTATCCCCTTGCCTGATTCCGCCACTTCTTCACAATGTATCTTATTTAATTCCACGGGTAATAAAGACCGGTGATTACTCGCGGGATTTTCAATCTCGCTCGTGACTGTACACGCTCTCGATTACCAAGAGGTGTGTGTTCAACCTATTACCTCTATTGGTTATTAAAGGAAATTATCCATCGTGTAACTACCGTATCGAAGCGTTCGATCAGATCGACGTTTTTTCTTCCCCCTCTCCTCTCTATCTCTGTTTCGATATCGAACCGTTGACGTGTTCTAATCCGCGTCGTAATGCGGAGAAATCGACTTTCCTCTCTTGTCGAGAGCGCGAATGCACCCCTTTTTATCCACTCCAAGACACCGGTTCGCTCTCTCCCCCTTCTCGATGAACCGCACCAGCGTTCACGCGACCTCTCTTATTTCCTGACCTCGCCAGCCTTGACCTAGGCCTTCTCCCGCGGGGGTCGATCAATCAATGGGAAGACTGCCGCAGCCTGACATCGACTAATTGCGTAAACGACCCGATAATGGCTCGTCTCAATGTTTCCAGGCCGCGATGTCGGCTCGATGAAATTTTTACGTCGAACAAAGTCACGACTGAGGGTTGCTGGGATCGATAGGCTTCATGACTTCAATGTTGACCGATCCAAGTGTTGCACCGTCGGGCTGTAGGAGTGGGAGACAGAATTGTGTCGTTTTCCGAAGGAAAATTCTCTTTTTGTAAGGGGTGGTCAATTTTGTGGGTGCTTTGGTATTTAATATTCAGAGTCAGACCTTCTTCGGTGATCTTTTGTCTTACACTATTCTATTTCTGTTATTCAGAGATTATGGTCATACCAGTAGGAAAGTTCTCTTTTTTAGTAAGGAGTGATCAATTTTGATCAAAGTGTCGGATTTCCTCGAGCGACGTTTTCTCTTTGTCGAGCAACAGCCGCGTTTCTTCACGTTCGAACGCAGCGTGCATCGAGATAGAAGCGACTTGGAGCGTGTATAAACGGTGACAACGGTTCGCGGCGAGGGCTTAACCGTGCACAATGCGACGCTGATTACTCGGTTGAAGTTTAGAACTACGCTAGGGTTACCGGCTTTCAATTGTTCGTTGCGTAATGTTCGATCGACGATAATCTGTTCGCAGCTAAGCCTGGTGCGCGCGGAGAAGTGCTTCCCTATTAGCTTTCGGTTACGTTGCCAGCGTGTTACCTTTGCCTGGGATGGATATTAAGTCGATCGATGACCATTAAGCCGTGGGGCAAATTGAAATTCAATAAGCTCGCGCGCGCGTCACCGAATCAATGGCGGATTGGTAGTAGGAAACGTTCCGTTCATTCGTTTGCCTCCGTGTGTTCGTTAGGTCTTTCCTATCTTTTCATCGTCCTTCGTATTAAAAGAAAAAAAGTATTCCATCTGACACACACAGTATTCCTCTTTTTCCTTTTTTTGTTTCAGTTCATTTCGTTCAATGGATTAACGCTACGTTGGTGAAGAAGTAGGAACCGAGGACAGCCCACCCCAATTGGAATTTCGAGGACGTTTCAGCGAGAAAGAGAGATCGCGTGTAACGATGTAAAGAACAATGTAACACCGTTGCCGTTCAATTGACTGCAACAAACGTGTGCTGTGAAGAATAGCAGTGTGCAAGAGACGCAAAGGAGAAATAAAAGAGAGAAGAAGAGAGAGAGAGATAGAGAAGGAGAGAAAAATAGGAAACGAAAGGAAAGGATAATAATCTGGCGAAGGAAAGGTGGCGCGATCGATCGGTTCCTTAAAAGAAGTGCCCGATCGATCGTTTCCTTTCGAAGGTACGCCTAGCGCTAGGATCACCTGGCTTTCTTTTTCTTCCTTTCCCTCCCCTTTGCAACGAAGCTCAACGGTGCTAGATCGCCACACGATCGCTCGACAGTCGACACCGCCTACTTTCTATCGCCCTGAAACGACTCCCGAGGTGCACCGCCAGTAAAATCCTCGAGAAACGAGTTTTACGGCCGATTCTCACAGTGAAACGCGACGAAACGACCGCAATTACGCGGGGCATAGTATCGTCGCCCTCGTCCTAACGCTTCTTTCCTCTCTTTCTCTTCGTTTCGTTTACTCTCGCTAGATCTACAAATCCATACAACCGAGAAAAGAAACGCGTGTAAAACCTGAGATTTCTAAAAATTCGTGTGGCGATCTCATCGAAACCCTTCATCTTCCGCCTTCGTTTTCTCAACGTTCTTCCACCTTTTCTAATTTCCAGCTTTGTCGTAGGTAAACCTCTACCAGGACTACAAATATCCGCGGAGAGTACTCGCGAGATCGAGGAAGCAATCCGAGGGAAGGTCATAATACACGATTTACCCTTGTATCATAAGTATACTAGATTAGATTAAATTAATACCATCCAGGATTTATCGTCGTTTGTTGGCGACACCAATTTCAACGCTGAACTGTATCGTACGATACGCGAAGCGGATACACCGTGCACAGAGAGTTGCGCGTAAAAGCTAGACGAGAAAATTCAAGTAGACAGAAAGGGAAACTTCTACGTACGTACGTACCATACGTACCGTACAACACACACACAGCTATACACATACACGTATATAGGAGTAAAATCGACGAGGGAAAGTAAGACGAGATGTACAGAGATCCGAATAGTTCCTCGGGAAGTGGCACCTCCACAAAGGGCGACGATGTCGAGATCGTTAGCAGATTTTTAGCGCCTTTGTGCGCGAGGGATGAAACTGCCAGAAACATCGCCCTGGCAGCGGCCAGGAACACGGTCGAGGGATGGCTCGGAGGGGTCGGTAGTCCGAATCATTGGGACGACGCCGGTGAGATGGAGGATCTGGAGAACATTGGGGGAAAGTTCAAGAGCCAAGATGGAAGGTAAGTGTCTCGTCTGTCTATGCATCGCGGCCTTTTTGCATCGATACGTCTCGATAAAACCCGTTCGTGTCAATATTGAGAAAGTTCCGTATCGCTCGAATATATCTTTTAATGCCTCGCTATTAGCAACGAGGAACGCCTACATTCGATACACCGTATCTCGTCCATTTATTCAGCTACAATGTTGCTCAGACTTATACGTGTTTTTTGTAATTAAATTACTTCCTGAGTATAGCTCCAGGCAAATTTCAATTCATCGACGACGGTGTACGGTTTGTTCGAATGTACAGTTGAGAGGTTTATTAATATTTACACGTTGGTGTAACGATCGATCGGGGAAACCTTTCGTATGAATTGTACCCCATGGACGTTGTTGAAGAATTAACAGAGATTTCGTTAACCTTTCACGCGAAGATACGACATGAGCATCGAGCGATCACCGATCAAGTCGGCGCCGAAGAACGTGCTGTCCCCGATCCAGCCGCCTCTTCTGCTTCAAGACACCTTCAGAACAGAGGGTTTCTTCCCGCAAAGTGTGACCGAGATACCAGCGTTTCTGGAGGACAACAGCCTGGAATGCTCCGAGAGATATCCATCGGGATCGTTCGATTGCGTGGACGGACGTCTGGGAAACGAAACTGGGTACGGGACGCCTAACGAGAGGAGGAGATACGTCGGCGACGTGGAGAGCTATAGATCTGGTCACTCGACGTCGTCTGACGAAGGGAAAGGCTTCAAGATCGACGCTCAGGACCGATGCCTGAGGTTTAAGGATAATTCAGAGACGAGATTCGGGTCGAGCTGCGAGAGCGAGAGAAAATACCTCGGTTCCTCGTCCAACGAGAGATTGAACGAGGTGAGCCTCGAGGACAGGCCACGGACGAAGAATTACGTGAAGGTGAAAGGCGCGAAGCAGAAGCAATTGGAGGATGACGAGCTGGACTCTGACACCAGGATCTACGGGAAGAGCCCCAAGTTCGACGAGAATCTAGGCGCGAACTTTGATCGTAGGAATCTGAACTTCCGCTCGAAAGGTGATATGCCGACGCGTGATCGTCGTTGCTGCGACAGCGTGGACGATGTCTCGTTCGACGAAACGGAGATGATGATCAGAAATCGGCCGAGTTATCGGACTGAAATCGAAGGAGTTGTGTTCAATACTCTGGACGGTTTCGAGAACGAGAACGCCAACGAGATATATCACAGACAGGACGATATTCGCGCCGAGGATGTGAAGCTGAAGAACTTTGAGATTTACACGGACGAAACGTTCGACGACGGTAGACAACGTTGCACGCGTTCTGAACAACCGTTCGATTATCTGCGGAAGAACGACGAGCGTAAGTTCAGCGCTGGACAGATCAAGAGACCACTCTCGCAGGACGAAGACGTCTCTTCGAAAAGCGGTAGGGTGCTGGAAAGCCCTGACGTCACCCCTGGGGATGTCGGCAGGATGCTTAATCTGGGAAACGCTCTGGACGGTCCAAGGCAAGCGCAGGCGAATAAGTACTTGAGCCTGGTGACGTTGCATCTACCGGTGATATTGAGGCTCAGCGTGAACTGTCCCTTCCAGAACGTTAGGATCAAGTGCGCGGAGATACTGGAGATGGTTCAGGTGAGCGCATATTAAATCTTTAATTACGCACGGTGTAATAACCGGCTGGGCTAGTGTAATCTCTGTGTATAGTTGTGTTGGTTTTGCGAACGTTGTTATCAAAGGTTCGGAGGTTCTCGGAAGTTTCGGTAAAATTAGAACGGGGGAAAGTTTGTTCGTGAGAGTATAGTAGAGATATAGGAAATAAATTGGGTTCTCTCCGTGTGTTTTTTCGTCCTCTGAGTCATTCGTTTTATGAGCACCTTATTGGAACGTCTCGGTGGAACCGTTTAGAAAACGGTGAACGCGCTCCACGGAGCGATTTTATGCGCCTTGTCGAGTTGCTCGTAAATAAACGGGCCACGGTGGTCGGCCCGTTTCGAGAAAAAGGCTATTTTTATTTTCTTTCACCATCGAGAATAGTTGCGTCGGTTTTACGCGAACTTCGTTGATGGCCACTCTCGTTGCATCGGCCGGAACTGATGCGTGTTGCGTTAATGGAGTTGTTTTAACTGTCTATTCATGGAACAGGTTCGAACCGGGGCCTAAAAATATGTCGGCCATTTTGACTTGCTCGTTGCACGGTGCTCGAGACGTGTCTGAAATAGCGATCGGCGATTGCCGATCGATTTATCGGGGTAGACGTTGCTCTTCTTCTTTTTTTTAAGCGAAAAAACGATCGTGTGGTTCGAGATTAAAAATAACAAAGTTTTGCGCACACAGACACACACACACCGTGTTATTTGCATCGTCTTTTTGGAAGTTGTTTTTATAATCAGTACACACATGGCGAGCCTGTACTATGTAAAGTCTGATCAATAGTTCCGTATGACTCATATGAAATACATAACGATCAGAAAACAAAGTTCTGTGCGCCAGTAATGCAATACGTTTCGTTCATATTGAATTACGTACCTTACATGTGTATATATATTTTTTTTCTTAGGACATTGATTAATTTCTCAATTTTATATTCGTTAGTTTTCTTCATTTATAAAATCAGACGAGATATTTATTATGTTTCTTTAAAATCATGAAAGAAAAAAATCTCTTCGCCCAACGTGGGGCTCGAACCCACGACCCTGAGATTAAGAGTCTCATGCTCTACCGACTGAGCTAGCCGGGCGGTTGGGTAATACGTTTAGCTGGTTGTAGTGGAGTAACTTTCCAGGAATAAGGCCTTTAATAACTGAAATATTTATTACAGGATAGGGGACTTCCAGTTCCAGTGCCTGCTTTCGATGGACCTAGTGCCTTTGTTCCTAAGTCTGAGGTAAGTACTTCCGCACTATTTTATTTGTTCGATATTCTCTGATAACTGTTTTTCAACAATGTTGCAATGAAATTTTCGCAACTGTCGTATATTGATTGACGAGCGACGATAAGAAGTCAATGTCAGATGTATGAAATGTTTAAATACTTCACTTTACTATTTGTTCACTCTTTTCTTTTTTTTAAACGTTCATCGATGATTAAAGGGAAACAAATTAGGGTAAGATTTTCGTAGGATTGTAATGAAATTTTCATGCGAAATATCGGGACAAGAAAAACAGACCGATTATAGCCAGTTTAATCTAGGACATCGAATTGGCGCTCGTAGCGCCGATAAGTTTTGCCTTATGATTGGTAGTTGTCGGTAAAAGCGAGTGTCACGATTGGCTGAGAGGAGCACGATGCCATGGATTGGTTCACATTTACTTGTCCCCTGGTAACCTTCAATTTAGTCTAATTAAGAACAATTAGGTACTCTCGTCGCTTAAACTGCAGCACTGTGCAACACGTATGTCGAAGAAATCTTCATTATCGACGGAGCAACGAATACCTAGTGAAATTCGTTTCATAAAGGTTCCGATTTACCATAGAAATATTTATATTCGTATCAAGATGTTTATGTAACGACGATTTTTTAAATATTCTTCTGTTTTACATCGATAATTGGAACTTTATCCATAATTTATATAATTCGTATTTTGTTTAATATGCATGTTTTCCGTTTCTCGAATGTACTTTGCATAAACACGCCGGAGTTTATTGTTTTAACGATATTTTCGAGGTGCCACTTTAACAGTTATCCGAAATGTTTCCCACGGCGATCTATAGATGGCGTTAAGAGCCAGAGGGCTCGTTAACGTGCAAATTGTCGCGCCAATTAAATTTAGTTAGCGGAATAAATTACAAAATTAAACGCGTGTTAAATAAACTCGTTTGTGTTCCAACCTATTTTCTTACCGTTAACATCGGTTGTTCTTAGATACCTCTCTGCATTATTATCCCCGTTGCTAACAAAATTTCTCTCGCATCGACAAGCCATTCGGGGGATTAGATAAGAGAAAGTACAATGCGTACGTTACGTAATTCGCGATAATAGAAAAAGCGTTCCATTAACGCGAGCATATGGCGTCCTCGACGAGGGACGGCTAAATGTTCCATTTTTTTGTCCAGCGGAAACAAAAAAATCACGTTTCATACATCTGACAAAACATGTTCATTATGCGTATTTTTTTTGCAGCCACTGCCGCGGTAAATTAAACACTTCTTTCCTTTCATTGACTTTTTCCTCTCTCGTGCTGAAGTTCCCATCGATTTTCGATGTTTCGCGTTTCAGCCCCCTTTTATTTACCAAATTTCGCATGCGAGTGAATTTTCACTTCGCGCCAGTTCAATTCGTTTCCTTTCCAACCTATGTTCTGTGCAATCGAAGAAATAGAACGAAAGAAGGGGGAAATCAGGTAAGTACGAACTAAGGTTATCATTTTTACAAATAACGTACACACAACAGCCGCGTGCGAAAATATTTCGGAAATTTTCAATTAACGCGCGAATAATTTTCAGATATTTTCTTTTTCACCCCGATCTTTCACAAACTGGCGAATAGTTTATTAAATCACTCCGCGCCATTTGTCACCGTATCCTCGCGCGATGTCCAGTTTCTCCCTCGACGTACAAGCGCTCGTTTAAAGTAAAGAACATATTTAGCTGCACGCGAATGGAAACGGAATTGCACAATGAAAAAGTAATTACCTTTTGCGTAACGTTGCATTTTGAAAAAAAGAACCAACGGTTCGCAATCGCGTTGTTTTCACGTTGTGCAAATACCGTGTATTGTTGTGCATGCACAGAACTGCGAATATAAATCGCCGACATTATGAAATTTTTTACGTTAACGATATTGTTCGGTTCACCAGTCAAGATAAGTGCCGTGTTACTCGTCGATTTTCCTCTGCGTCTTTAAATACGTCGAACGACACGCGTGCGCGATATTCGCAAGTTTCTTCAATTCAAATGGAAAAGGAAGAAAGCAAAATGGAGGAAAAGAAAAAGCTTTTCTCAGTTTCTTTTTTTTCAGGTAAAGTCGTTCTTTCATTCGCGAACGAAGATCAATGTTCCGCGTTCAGTTTCCCATGTAACTTCTGTTGCTACGTGGAATACGAACCATAATTGCCTGTTTATTTCGCGAACTCGTACGAACACTCTGCCGGTAATTATAACTCTCGTCCATCTTCATCGCGAGGTTGAAAAACCGAAGGTGTATCGTGCGAACCGAGGTTCAAATCCAAGTGCGCCGGTCAGACGATGAAACTCTACTATCTTTCTCTCTCTGCTTCTCCTCTTTTCGCTTTTTTATACCGTACTCGCACTTATCGTAATTACTACTGACAAGCAGACAGAGTCCTGACAGAGTTAAGGCCGGACACGCGATTCTCGAACGCGTTTATCTGATACGCGGTGTATATTAGGTCATCCTGAAAATTCTCGATCTCTTTCGAGGGATTTCTTTGCGTCTTTCCGTGTCTTGGAGACGCAGGATGTTTATCTGTGCTCTTCCAATATGTTGGCTGTTATGAAAATGATTTGCAATGAAAATCTTCAGTTTCAGTGGAGTTTCGATTTTTTCGGGCGCATGTAAGATTTCTTTCTATTTTCCTCTGTCACAGAGATTAGAATTCATATGTACAGCGAATTAGTGCTCTTGCAACACATTGGCAAAAGTGTATCGAAGGTTATGAAAATGATTTGCAATGAAAATGTCCAATTTCAGTGGAGTTTCGATTTTTTCGGGCGTATACTAATTGTAGGTTTGGATTGGGGAGATTCCTTTCTATTTTCTTTTTCTTGTAGGGATTCGAATTTTTGTGTAAACGGAATTAATACTCTTGCAATTGCAAAAATGTTCAATTTCACTTGAGTTATATTTTTTCAAAATGGACGATTTAACCATTCGACAAGTTCATCCCGTGTGAGACTCGGGAAGGCGACAAATACTGAACTTGTTTAACTCAAAAGAGACTCTAGGAAGAAAGTTAAAAAGGGACGAGATATTGCCATAACTAGCACGTAGGGTTGTGTATCCCTTGTTTTAAGAATGCTCATATCCGACGTAGTTATTCAATTTTTTCACCTTAATTCATAATTTTATTAGATCGTCTGTAGCGTCGTGGACTTTGATCAAGTCTTATGACCAGGAGTTCTGGCGCAGGTTCACGATAGTTCTCGCTGGTCCGAGGTGGAATGAAACTTGGTTCTTGGGTTAGATGCTTCTCTTTCGGTTCGTTGATAGATGTTTAGTTGAAATTCGGTTATTCTTTGTTTTGACCATGTGTCTCGTGCACTCGTACTGTTAAAATGCTCTGTTTTCAGGTGTGTAGATGTATATATAGGGATTAGGTTGGTTCTGATTGGTGGCTGTGTTATGGAGGTGGAGAACGTGGTGTGTTCTGCTATTGGTCGACGAAAACTGTGACCTTTTGGTAACGAATGTTTTATGGTCCCGAGTGTTTTTGGGACCTATTGTCCGAATGTCGCGCTAGTGAGTCCACGGGGGGTATATTGCGGTCTTCCGAAAGTCGGCACCTCGGTCTGGCGGCCAAATGTGACTAAGTGGCTTATTACTACAATCCGCCGAACCGAGACTTCGTTGCGTCCTCATCAGGTCGTCTCTCAGTTGACACGGCGCCTTATCATAAAACGAGGAGAAAAGAATTCTAAATCTCTCTCTCTTGTTCCCGTAGTTGCTCAATCCCACGTGTTCGTGCAACGGAATTCAGCGGGTGCTGCATCAAGCCAAGTTCAAACTGGCCTGAATTTCTAACATGGTATGCGATTTCTGTGGTATCTTGGAGAGATGCCCAAAGTTTGCCAAGAGAAAGAGCGAAGGGAAGGGTCACTGCGTGGATGAGAATCGAGAGGAAGAGAGACAAGAGAGCTCTGGGGAATCCTGGCCGGGTGATTGCGAGTCGTAGCTCGGTCCAGCGACCGCAAGTGGCTGCAAGTGTCTCGTATACAAGCTCCATTAAGGATCTAATTGAATCCCTTTCTTGCTATTTTCTTTTTTCCTCCCTTCCGCTGCCCTCGTTCCATCTCCCTCTCCCCCGAAACCACGCTTGGAAACGTCGTTTCTATCGGAAATGTTTGCTCCCTCACCTCACCGCGAAATCATATTACCGCAATCGTGCTACGGGAATCTTCGAATTCGCGTAATTGCATTAACACGGAGGGGTCTCGAGTCACATATAACTGATCGGGGTCGGTGACTTCTTTCTATACGTCTTTCAATTGCCCGACTACCATTCGTCGTCGTCGTCGTTAGCTTGAAACCAGCCCACGTGCATCGCGAATTACACTCTATTCGCTTATACAGGGTGAGCCTTGTGACACAGGCAACCCGACTGTCTTCTCTAAATACCTACGGTGCTGCGAGACAATTTTTGCACTGCAAAAGGTGAATATTACACTCTGTCTATTCGCTTATACAGGGTGAGCCTTGTGACACAGGCAACCCGACTGTCTTCTCTAAATACCTACGGTGCTGCGAGACAATTTTTGTATTTTAAAACGCGAATAAGATGGGAGACAAATTTTCTTTTCATTTTCTTTCTATACGCAAACATGCGTAGCAATGCGATCACAAGATGAGCTTTATTGGATTAACGGGTTGAATAAATGGTGTTCTCTGTGATTTTATTTTCTTTGAAAATCGCAGTCGAAGTGAAGGAAAAACAGCCGTAAGGGCACGGCAGAATGTCTGTTGCGCGTTTAAGAAAAAGAGACTATTATATTATTTTGACTAAACAGTGTTTCTCATATATGACACAATTCATTTTCGCTTACTAGCTGACGCATTATCAGCAACAATCCAACAAGCTTCGACTCAGAAACTTTAAATTAAACGTGAAACTTCCTTTGAAGAAAATTTCTTCATCCTTTGAAACTACTCAGATTACGTATAAAAATGACCTCCTACCACCGTAGCTAGAGGAGATACAGGTGTCCCTCAATTTACGCGGAGTATCCGTTCCACGATTCGCGAATGAAAATCGCGCAAATGAAGTCTGTCGCCACAGCCTTATCGATGCTTTTTTATTCAAGTACGCGCAGGATGACTGGCACAACGTAATGTACTTTTATCCTTATCTCATCCAGCACCGACGCGTTTCAACATCGCCGAATAAGTTACTGTGTACACTCGTTACTTTTCAAACTGCTAGGAAAATATATTTTCTGGCCGCGTAAATTAAGATCGCGCGCAAAAACTACCGCGTGAATTGAGGGACCCCTGTAATTAGGTGGTTTAGGTGCTTTCTCGCACAACCCACTCTGTATGCAAGATTTCACTGAAACGAAAAGGTCGAGGAAGATTGGTACGTTATCTCTGTACTTGTTCCTAACTCGCGACTGTTAACTCTTCTCGGAATTTATCCGGCGGATTATTGACACTGAGTTATGGTAATTGCTCGCGCACTTACGTGAACACGTGACGTAAGCTGTTACGAGACGAGTGATTTGTACGGAGTTGTGTATGAAACGAGGCGAGGGACTTGGAGAAATAGGCGGAGGGATATAAAAGGGATGGCGTAAAACGGAGAGGAGAGAAAAAAAGGGAGAAACACGGGAGGATAGGGTGGAAATAGCGAAATTTCTCACGTAAATCCTCTGCCACACGGCCACGTAGTCCCCGCTGCTCGGTTTGTAAGCCTTCGCGTAAATAACCAGCTGCTGCCTCCCAGAATACCTATAGGAATATTACCCCGGGAAATATTTTCCAGGGACGAATTGAAAGTGGTCAGGATATTTGATCCAATCTGTCTTTTCGACGCGGCGAAAATTTCGCTCGATTCTCGCCGGCGAAATGTTTATTGTTCGAGCGAGAGCATGTATGTACGTAACGTACGTGTCGAGGTGACATATCATTTTTGATACGTGAATCCGGCAACATTTGTAAAGTGTATTGTAACACGTTTTATCAATGTTTACACTCCGGTATTCCTCCGCCACGTTCCTTCTTTTTTCCCATTTTTCCGTATCCGCGTTTGCACGAGGTTCTGTTCCAGCGAAAAAGTTTCGTGCCTCTGCTTTGTTTCAGGATTCCACGGTTAATTGTACGAACGATCTCTTCTCGTGTATTTCACGTATCTTTAACCCTTTCGCTGCGGCAGATTTTAACCGACTGACGGTAAATTTTTAACCGCAAAATTTCTTATTTCGGCCGTTTCGTTTTAAGATTCGGTTTATTGGATTAAAATCGAAGTGCGTAATGGATAAAAGTAAGTATTAAATTAAGGTGAAAGTGCAGCAAACGATGAATTTTCAAAACGCCCATAGGCGTCAATGGTAACGAAAGGGTTAACGTGACCTAGTTTATCTTCCGGAAGTTACATTGTTGTAATACAGGAGGAGAAAATTTTACGCGATACTTTTCCCGTTTATTTCTCCCAAAAGCAGGGAAGAAACATTCCCCGAATGTTGTTCGCTGTGCTTTAATTGTTACGCCGATAATTCGATACGGGTGTCGATACCGGTGTCGGTAATAAACGACCTCGATAGCGGCGTAGCCCGATGATAAGGAATTTTTCATTTAGTTACCACACGTTCCTCCCTCGTTCTCTCTCTCTTTCTCTCTGGATGTCGATACCGCTTCGCGTACTAAGGTTATCTCGATGACTTATTACATAATATTGCGCGACGGATAAAAAAGGCATTATACCAGGAAATTGTATCCGTAAGCACAGGGATAAACGTATAGGTGTAATAATAAGATCAAAGGAGAGGAGGAGATTAAATAAACGAGGTAGATGGTATAATAAGAAAAAGCGAGAGAGAGAGAGAGAGAAAGATATATCTATACAGGGAAGAGAAAATGTGGTAGAGAGAAGGGTCTGAAAGAAATTGGGAGATATTTCACCCTTGGGAAAGATCGAGGAAAAATGGTAATCAGTAGTTGCCACGAATTCTTATATACTTTTCCCTTAGAAGTATCCAGCTTCTCGTAAACAAGGTCAATCGTTTGCTTAGGCCATTTCGTATCTCTTATAGCGAAGCAGGATTTATAGCTATTATTTACACAATACTTGTATTATTGATAGCCTTTTTTTTTTCTTTCTTCTCTCTTTCAACTCGTTATATCGAGCGTTATTATTTCTCTTTTTCTTTTCTCGTCATATTTTTCATCAATTCCAGCATTCCGTTCTGTTTGTTACCGTTAACGCGAGAGACAAGTTAATTCCAGGAGGGATCGTACGTTGGGCTTGCATTTCCGAGTCATTGGTCGTTATGGCTGACACGCCTTCCACTGCAGACACGCATTAGTTCCTCCTAATCTATAACAAGATAGCCAGGACTGGTCTTACTGGCTATCAGCCTGACATACTCGCGGCTAATTGCGATCTGTGGTCACGGCAAGGGCTATTTCCACCGCAAGCTACTATTGCGCCGTTTCTTCGTGTGTATCTTGCCCACGGTGAATTATTATTTGCGGTTTCTTTGCATGACGGATCGAGCGGGAACATAAATTGGCCAACTTTCCTTACTCGTCTTTCTCTGTCTCTGAGAGCGCATGTTGCAGCGGGATCGATGCAAATTGCCGATGGATTCACCGACGATCGCGTGTCATCGTTTCTCGAATTGCTACGAAAACACGGAAATCGAGGTTAGAGGAAACGAACCACAGCTTGAAACGATTGCCGAAGGTTCCACCGACGGTTTCTCGAGTTCGCGAATCCCCTCGACTTACCTTATGAAGAAACTTCCACGGTTCACCTGGTTTACACGTAAAACACTCGAAACGGTGTTTTCGGTCGCTTATAAGAGGCGGCTTATCTCGAGAGAGAGAAACAGAAGACGGAAAGATAAGTGCGACGACGGTGGAACCATTAAGATACAAAACGCTGTACGTGTCCTCCGCTCAGAAAATTCTAGATGACCCTGTTCATCTCGTAAGAAACTTGCGGCCAGTTGAAAATAACATTAACAGCCAGTATTCTCTGCTAGAGAAACTTTTCAGCTTCTCCTTGTTCCCTGAATTTGATTCTATTTTTATATTATAAAAAAATACCTGGACTAGCCACCTGGACTAAACACTCTGATTAACCCGTAGGAAAGGTTGCAAATCAAATCTTATTTGAAATTTTTCAAAACGTAGAAATGAACTATACCATTTTATATAAATATCCAATGCATTCTCTGAACAAATTTACGAAGGCCCATGCTCTCTGTCTTAATTAATCATTTGCCAAGTGACAATTATCTAACGTCGCTTCTCAGCCACCACTCAAAGAAAAAATAAATTTTCAATTTTCCACTCACAAATCACCTTCTGATCCTCAACCATCTGAAAAATAAATTACACAATCCCCAAAGAAAGTCTCCAATGGACAAATACCCAGAAACTCCAAAATCTCCACAAATTCTAAACTCCATCAAAGTAAAATCCAAATCCCCTTTCAATTCCCCGATTCCTATCCACCGACCATCTTCCCGAACCACACGCTAAAAATGCATCAACCTCCAAAAAAAAAAAAAAAAAAAAACAATCACCTGCAACGTGTGACCACTCGAGAAGATAAGCATAAATCTGACCGAAAGATACGCGAAACATGTTAAATACCGTTATCAGTTCGACTGTCAGCTGTCGCGAAATCCTGCGATGGTACGTTCGATTAACAATCGAGCGAGCGTGTAAACCGGCCACCCGCTTCGTACACGTCGCCGGTATTCGCGGGCCAATCGATTCCCGCCTCTAGGAGAAACGACGAATCCGGTGGTTCGTATAGTAAAACGGGGAGAGAGCGAGAGAGAGAGAGAGAGCAACCGGTGTAGAGAGAGTCTGTTGCGCGTTCACTAGCTTCCTCCCCTTTGCTGGTGCGGCGGCGGCTCCCGTCGCGACATCGCTCTTCGCGGGTGTTCATTCGCGTGTCAGACGTGCTTGAGGTAGGACGCCGCGGCTCCTGTGTGAACCAATCACCTCGTGGATAACCAACCGTTCCCTTTCTCTGTCCCCGCGTTCTTCCTCTTCTTCGTCTGTTCGTCACGTTCTCGAGGCCAACGTGTCAGTTCCACGTGCTCCCCTCTCGTATCGACACACACAGAACACGCACAGGGTCCACCACTGCTCGCGCTTCCGTCGTTCAGTCCAGCCGGTTTTCACCATCGCTGACGGAGGACCCGCTCACGTGTAATCCTCGCGTGTGCGACTCTTCTTTGCTCGCTGCCTTGCGTCACAGGTATGTGAGAAACATGTTATTCGACGGTAGAATTCTTCTCTAGCTACGGGTTTCTTTCTCATCGGACGTAGTACGGTGTCACGTATAGAAGTATTTACTCGGTGTATTTGACTACGCTGCGAATAGACGTCGGTATGTACGTTTGGTGTTTTTTAACTTCTCAACGCTTTCGGTGAATTTACCCAGGCACGTTTTATGTTTTTAAGTCATTAACGCTTACGGTTTTTCTCTGCTTACCGAGAAATCATTCTGTCTTTTTCTTCGGTATCTCCTGAACGTGTAGAAGGAAGTTTGCCGTTATTTACAACGCTGCGACTTGCGTACGTTCTTGTCATAGCGGAAAGAATAACGCGATATGGAAAGTGAAAGAAAATAATGAAAAAAATGCCACTTGTTGGACAATTCAAGCGTTGACCAGTTAAAATTTCGCATTCTTGGAATAAAATCACCGAGTAGCGTGTATCTGTGTCGTGATGATGGATAGCCGTGTGACAGTTGACCATTGCTCGGGAATATCAACGTTTCACAATCGCTCCGCCACTTCGGAGTGGTTAACTCGCGTCGCTATTTCGCGGATAAACGATTGCAACGTAACGGCGCATTGTCTTTCCGGGTGAAAAGCGCGACCTTGCACATTGGCGCGTTTCGCGGCCGACAGCCCGCTTCCGCAGCATCGTAAATTCGAAACGGCGCGGCGCGGCGCGCACGCGTCCATCGATAGCGACTGTGGCAATAAAACGGTAATCGCGTGAAACGTTGTCGATCGTTATTGCCTCTGGATAGAAATTAATCTTCCGTTTATACGGGGCTCGGCTTCCAATAATCTTTCGAGTACACACGCATGCACGTACACGTATCGAGGACCTTTATCATCGCGGTTTGACGTCAAGAAGGCCGAGCTCGTCCGTTCCGTTCGTTGTTTGCTTCCTTCGCTGAGATACCAAAGTGAGAGAGATACTCGTGGAACCGGTCGTTCCTCTAATTTGCGATGCTAATATCGAACTGTGTGTGCGCGGGTCGCCGGAGGAATTGCGTCGCGACGATGGTTCCCACGCGCCTCCACGGTAGCGTATCCGGCCTTTATGCGAGAAGTTAGCCCCTAGGTTGAACAATCCGAGCGCAAATTCCTCGCGATGTCCGTTGCAAATTTTCCGATAACACCGTGGGGGTGAACGAACAATGTGGAAAAGGCGGCCTCTGTTCGCGCGTCGCTTGTTAAACGCCGTGTGTAATCGCGTTCAGCCAGCGACAGCTATTCAGAGTAAGACGTGGAACTCGTTACGCGACCAGTCGGTCGTATTCGGTATGCTACACGCTCTGCTTCTCGTGAATTATCGATAATACCATTTGGATTTTTCGGAATTTTAATATAGAGAGAGTTGGGAGGAAACAATCTGTTCGACGTAGGAAGTTAGGTATCTGTGGTTAATCAGATGCATTCGGTTATACGTAAGAGGGAATGTTATCGAATTCCTGGAGGAATTGCGTAGAGGGGACACACCGGTTGTCAAATTTTACACGCGTTTCTCGTGCCTTCTGAATTATGCGTCGGGCAGTGGTGGGGGTAATTGCCGGAGAAAACAGTGGCGTGCATAAGCACGGATTGAAGAAGATGATTCGAGCCGAATTGCTAATGCCATTGCCACGATGCCTGTAACGAGATTACTCGCGGTTGGTTGTGCAAGGTTGCGCGGTATATTTTGCATAGAAACCTTCGAGTTCGAACGCAATGCACACACGCGTGAAGAAACGTGAAAAGCGAATCACGTGGTGATAAGGATATATCTGCACAAGGTTTCTTTCTTAATTCGTTTCTCGTTTCGAGACAGATAAACCGAGGGAATATGTACATTTCGTCGATATCAACCACGTTTATCTCGCAACAATTCATTTCTCTCGATGGCTCTATTTCTGCGATGTTTTCTTCGCGCTTTATCGTCGTTCATCGTTGCAACTCTGCCTCTCGTGTGATTCATCTCTTCCCTTCTTTATTTTCCTTTTTTTTTTCGTCACCGCGTTGCAATCTCGCGTTTATTGCAAGAGAGAGAGAGAGAGAGAGAGAGAGAGAGAGAGAGAGAGAGAGAGAGAGAGGCGAGAAATCTTCGGGCAAAAGTTAGTTAAGGGGTAGGGGCACGCGATAATTTTCTTCCGCGTCTCGAATTCGACGCTACCACTTTTTCGCGTGCTCGTTTCAGCCGCCTGGGAATTTTAATGAAACCACCGAACGCGCAGTTTCGAGGCACTTTGTTAGCCCGGCGAAACCCGGCCAGCCGGTGCATTTAAATGCGCATAAATACGTTTTATGCACTCGTTTTACCAGGGAAATTGTGTCGCGCCGGTTTCAAACGTCGTCGCCGTAGACGTTTCGCTGACGGCGAACGAACAAAGCGGAGGGGTAGCAGCCTAGGGACGCTCGTTTTTCGAGGCCTTCCGCGAATAAAAAAAAAGAAAAACCCCGAATAAATTCGAATTTCCGTTTAGCATATCCACCACTTTGTGAACGAACGTTCGCCCTGCTTTCTTGCGTCGTGGAAAAGAAAAAAAATGTAGCAAAGCGTAATCCGAGCTAAAGACATAATTACCCCGCGTGTACGTTGCTCGTTCGCGTGTTACCATACGAGGAGGAGAAATTCATTTTTCCTCGCGATCGCGAAACGCTATTTCTCCCTCCCGGGGGTTTGTTTCTTAAACGACGTTTTGAAGTAATGCCATGCTCGTAGAAGAAGGGAGAGAGAAAGAAGAAAAATCCCTCTCTCGAGCAGGTTGTAAAAAGGAAACCGTGTACATGCATAGAGCACCGGGTTTCTTTTACGAGCCGCTCAGTGATATGCAAATTTTCTGCAAATTTCCACCTTCTAAAACATGCTAAAAAGTCCCATCGCCGGGGCTCCTCGCCGCTCACTTAAGTAATACGGCCTCGCGAGCTCGTTTTCAGCCGTCTTTAACGCGAAATCTTCAATGGCTGCGCGTTTACCCTGCGAGAAACTCGATTAATTACCATTTTTTCCTCGTATATTCCTTCCTTTATCCTCTGTACCTCTCTTTGTCCTTTGTAAAAAAGAGGAGGAGGAAGGGCAAGTGTATTTTCAATCGAGCAATCGTAAATTGAACTTCGAAGTAGCTGTGGGGAATTCTATATTTTTCCATATCGGTTAGGATGGGGAAAAAAGGAGATCGTCGATCTTGCTTACAATTTTCCAACCGGCGTGTTTTTCGGTTCGACGTGTTTCCCGGTTCCGTATAAACGTATCAAAGAGGCAGAC